ACTAAAGATATGAGAAACTGATATATTAATGTTTTAGGTTAATTCTTGGTTTTGCACATTCTATGTCCTTGGTATAGATCGTATGTAATACTTAGCCCTATGGCTCGCTAGATATAGGTGTCTCTGTGTGTGGATTTGAGTGTATCATGATGAAGAAACAAAGGCATCCCATTGGATACGATATGGCTGAATGAGCAGCGTAAAAAAAAAAACACCATTAAGTAGTTGGTTAAAATAAATGTGGTGTTATTTGCACTAAAATCGCCGAGCATGTGGAAGTTGGGCACTCCTTGTTGCACGGGGGACCACGTATTAGATCGTTGTAATGGGTGATTGCTACGATAGCTTTCATTGTACGGTCGTTGATACTGTATGATATAATTCCTAGCTTCGTTAATTTGACAAGTAAAGGATTGCTGACGTAAACCACACAACTCACTGTAAATTATGCACAAGTCCTAAACACATAACTCCCAAATTTCAAATGGCTTTAAACATCAGGATGATTACGGCAGTAAATGCTATTTGATAATATCTACGAGACAAAGACGAGTATACAAACAAGTATCACTTCCCACAGTTTAAAGATAACGTTCCAAATAAAACACTAGTTAACTGTTTAAAAAAAAAAAGATGAACATTTTACTTGTGCCGGACTATCATAAGAATAAAGCTGTGTGTCTAAAGTCTAAGGTCATAAATTTGTAGGACAAACTGGGCCACCAGGTTGTGAGCTGTGATACTCTCTGATCCCGTGTCATAAACCTCGGACACTTCTCGCTTCCCGTGTCTTCAAAAAATCAATTGTCACATTTCGAGGGTGAGGGGAATCTCATTGTTCGACTTGACCCACTTTGAAAACCCTTTCAGCTGGAGCCTCCCGACAGTGGTTCTTCACGTTTTTAATTACTGGACGTAAGTCAGGTCCAATGTCGCTCAAAATGTTTGCCTGGAGAAATTAATGTTTGCTCTCTGTGATTTGCTTGGGTGAAACCTGTTGTCATTGAGGATTTATTTTTTAGTACTTTCCCGCATTTCTTTTATACATCAAAGCTAGTTTAATCATTCAAAGGCTAGCACTTTAAGTTGGCGTTCATAAATAATGTCAAATTAATGATGAAGGAGTGTGTGAGAGGGGGGGGGGGGGGGGCTGGCTTTTTAACAGTATGCTTAGAGGAGGGGGGCAGTGTTTCTTCCAGACTTTTTTCTCCTGAGAGGGGAGTGGGAGAGGGGGGGGGGGCGGACACTGGTAAAAGTATATATTTTCTATTTATATTCTAGAAGAAACTCTGGATGGGGGTAGGTTAAAAAATATGATGTATTTATCCTTTATTAAGAATATTTCTTGATGGGGTAGGTGTGTCATGAATCTGCTGTAATGTGTCATTTTAGGTAGATGATTATGAAGAGAGAAAAAAAGGGGGTGGGGGGTGAATCTTCTGTATTAGAGTAATTGAACTCTATAACCTATCAGTAACAGCTAGTAGTTGTACCACACCATGCCAGTAGCCCCAGGCCATGTATCCTATTGGTGTGCTTGTCTACAGGAGAGTTCTCCCACAGACAGGCTCAAGTGATCCAGCTTGTCTTGGATGTGAAAGTTGCTACCAGCTGGCACAAACCCACCTCACTATAGGCTTTACTGGTGGCATTGATTTCACTTAAACCACTTGGGCTTTGGATAGATCATTCTCCTGTTACATCTGTAATAAAGAAAAACATTTTTTTGGCTCTATGAGGATTTTTTTCAATATCTGCTTAAATAATAGAAAACCTATATTTCATCTGTATCTTTTTGTAATGTGACTTGTTTCTCTTTTTAAAACAAAAGCTAGAAGATGAATGCAGGTAAAATTGCACCTGTTCTTACCTTTAAGTCTTTGATGTGACCAACTTTTGTACACAAACATTGGTTAACACTGACTGAGCAAACATGACAATCTCCTACTGTTGTGAGGATTGAGTGTACAGAGATTACATGTGTTGCAGTAGGGGAGTTAATCCTCTATGTTTATTTCCTCTTTTTTTTTACCTGTGTTTGTTGTACTATGTCATCTGTTGACGGGCTTTTATAAATTTCTGTTTCCTTCTATGTCCAGTATTTATTTGGTGAGGCAGAGTTTCTGTAATAGAGCCCTGTTGGTATGAGTAACCATTTTTTGAATGAAAGCTGTGTTTGTTGGGGCTTTCAAGTGTTTACAGTGGGTGAATGGATGGGTCTAGTTGGTTAAACATATCTGACCTACAACCCTTGCACTTATTTGAACCAACTTTCTAACCTTGATGATCTAATCAAGTCAGTTATATTTTCATCTATGGACTGTCTGTTGCTGTTGTTTTGTATCTAGTGATGTGTTGTTTGGTGGTTGTGTAAAAGAATGCCTTTCTGCTGTGGTTTTTTACAGTTTAGATAAATCTTTTATTGGGTGTAACTAATGGTAAATCCTCACAGATGACAAAGCTTTCGCTGTTGTTACAGACAAAAGTAGTGTTGAAGAAGTTGATTTCCAGTTGTTTCCCTTGTCTGATGGAGTTCATGTTTGTTACAGATCCCTCAGCAGTAGAGGAACACAGCAGCAGTCAACTAGCCAGGAGGCAACTGGCTGTACCACTGTCCATCTCTCAGGTGGATAATGATCTACTTTGTTCTGGAGTTGCCATTTTACCAGGTAAGGAAACTTTACCAGGTTAGTAAAGGTTAGGCCTCTATAACCAGCACATGTTGTGCAAGCTGTATTTATATTAATTTGGCACACTGAAATAACAGTAATTTAAATGCCCATCCAATTACCTAGAATTTGTTTTCTTTGCATTTAATTGATGTTTACTCATAAGTTTTAATTTAACAAAATTCTTCATTGAAGTGTAGATAATGTTTGTGTGTATTTTAAAAAATTATCTTAATGACCTCAGAAAGTAAACATTAAAAAAAATTGTTTGCTTGTGTTTGTTTTGTTTGTATGTGTTTGTTTTGTTTGCATTAGGAGCTTGCCTCAACCTGTTATTGTTTCATTTTTAGGGTGTAGAGACGAAGAAGGGCGAGATTTAGTGTACATATTTACGTGCAGCAGCCTGTGGTATGACAGACGTGTAAACAGCACAGAATTAGCTAGACTTCTCATGTATTATTGCACTGTGCCTAGGTGAGTACTGACTCTTGACACTAGTTTTTTTATTGTAAGTGGCTTATAAGTGGTCATCCATAAATGACATCATGCTATTTGGACACATTTTACACTCAACCGACTTACACCCCACCCTGCCCTTTGTCACACGTCATCACAACGAGCCATACAACACCTTTAAAATGATTTCACAAAATTGATACACCCCTGAAGCAAAAATCTAACTTTCATTACTTTTGTTCTTAAAAGACAAAAAAATAATGCATTTTCACATTTCTTGAAATACCCATCCCCATCTCAATACAAATAGCAACAAATGTCTGAATTTTCCTTCCACTACCTAGTTTTGATGTCATTTATAGTAAAGCCTATTGTAATGTCAGCTCATTATTTCAGAAAAAGACCTCCTGGTCAGGGTCTAGCCATAGTTGCTGACATCCGAGGTGCCACAACTTCTACAGTCAACATTCTTTTAGAATCTTTATATCTCTTAAAGGTAGGCCACTAGTCTGGGACAACACTTTTGTCATTTTCTTATCATTTAACTTCTACTTGATTACTATAATCATTTGCAAGCTAAAAATTGAAATATTTTTATATTATATTCACAATGTACTATTCAATTCACAATTGCTTTAAGGGTTGGTGGACTTCTCAATTCACTATTGCTTTAAGCGTTGTAAAGTTCTGACAAAAACTACAATTAAATTGTATTACCCAGGACAATCTCCCTGACTCTGTAGCCATTGTACATTTGTTTGCTGACAAAACAACACAGTCCTATGTCATCAAGTCTCCTGTATATGATGTCAAAGCTAACTTAAATGTAAGTACTTTCAACATTTAAATGAGATATCAAAAGGTTACTGGTCTTACCTTTTTAAAAAGGTTAATTTTCAACTTCTAAGTTTGGTGTTAATGTATGTACATTGATTGAATAAATTTAACATCAAATTTGATTTGTATTCATTCATTGAGATTCTCTCCCCTCCCCCATTAATTTCAGTTAAAAGTGGACCTAACATTTGACCACCTCCAACAGTATGTCAGTCTTGATCAGATTCCAACAGTGCTAGAAGGCACATATCCCTACCATCATGAATCCTGGGTGCGTTTCAGGAAGGTAAGCAGAGCATGAACACACATTGTTGTAACCTTGTTTTATTCTAATTTAGTTTCACTAAGTTTTTAGTCTTATAAGTATCATATTTATAACCACCTTGTGTGGTCTGTTGATAAAACCAACAGTCTATTAAAAATCTTTAGAAATATTCTAACCCCCTTTTATATGTTGTGATCAATTTAATATTTGATAATTTCTTTCTTTAAAATACTTAAACCTTGGAATTGAAATAAACCTTTTTCAGAAACTTGAACCATTCATGCTAAACTGTCGACTGGTTGCGTGTCGGCTGGTTGATGCCATGCAGCTGATGTCATCCAGTGAGAAGATGCCCCAGAGTGTCAGCGAGTCAGCGGAGATGATACAGGCTCATGAGCTGGCCGTCAAGATGGCCTTTGAGGATGAGACCCTGCTGGCACTACAGAGTGATGGTCCAGCCATCATCAGCGCACTCAGGCGAGAGGAGGAGTCCTTCTCACACTCTGAGGATTATAGGTAGATAAGAACTGTTCTCACCTTCTGCATTCTTTATTGTAATATGGAGGGGATTGCCTCAGACACAACTAAGGTTTACATGACAACTTGTTTTATACCTTATGGTATGTTGACTCTGACTTAAGTTTGCTTTTCTTTCTGGGTTTGTTTCCATAGCTTTTATCCACCCAAAAACAATCTGAATAGCAGCAGTTGTTTCATTTTGGAGTCATATCCCAAATAGGTTGTTGTCACCAGCTAATGAGCCTCATCTGTCTGGGGTCCGAACCCTGGAGCATGCCAACCTTTTGTGATGGGGCTGTATGAATATATCTTTAAACTAACCCTGACATTAACACTAAGCCCCAACCCTGACATTAACACTAAGCCCCAACCCTGACATTAACAACTATACAGTGATTATGATAGTGTATTGATTAGCCAGAGTAAATGTACATAAGATGTTTGAGAATGCTGTATTTTCTAGTATGCCTTTTCTCTTTGCCAGTTTTGCTATGGAGCAAGTTTCTGACCTTCATGAACACCTTCAAGATTCCATATCAAGACTTGCCAGATTGGCTGACTCTCGCATGAACAAACTTCACAACTGTCTGCAGCTCAGAGAATATGAGGACGAGTGCCACAAGGTAAGGCCCTCACAGTTTGAAATTTTAGCCTCAGACAGACACTACTGTAGCTATCGTAATACTCATCCAACAGAAAAAAATGTACAAAAGCAAAATTATATTATCATAATTTAGTAATGGGTTTCTTCCTAACATTTCAGATCCTCGTTTTAAAAAAACCCAATAATATTGTAAAAAAAAAAGACAACGGGAAATAACTCTACATAAATCTAATTTTTTAAATTACTCCCCTTTGAAGTCTTTTTGCCAAAATCTTTCAAGCTTTCTTTATGTTAACAAGATTAATCTGAACATAAATATACTATTTAAAGTTTTAAATAACACATAAAACTATATAAAAAAAGAAATTAAGGAAAACTTTTCTTTATAGTAAAGGTGTTGGACGCTCAAGAAATATTTTCAATACATTTTCATGAACACAATTATCGCTTAAGAAAAAGTTAGTTTATTTTTTTTAACTTGAACGCGTTTGTTGTAAAGTTTTTTAAGGTTTTATTTTTAAAATTTAGCATTTACTCATTGTAAAAGTAAGATTGCAGGTTGATGTTTAAGTTTTAAAAACCGCACCACAATCATTATATTTCTGCAGACTGTGTTAAATTACGTTGACTTACTTTTAACTCCCAGATTTTTTAAAACTAATATTCCTTATCAAGCGTCTCTCATTGCTGAAATTTGCTTATCAAAACTGGACTACTAACAGCCTTTATGAGTTGAGTGAAACTCTGTATTTGATCCCTAGAAAATTTTAATAGTCGACATATGATTGTGTTTTTATTTTATAAAACTTACCAGGTGATAAAATACTGGATCAGATGTATATATATATATATATTGCTATGTTGGAAACAAAAGGCATATTTCACTAGATGTATTGAGGACAGAAATGTCTGTGAAACAAAAAATCCTTGTTAGATTTATTGAGAAACAACCTGCTCTGGACAGGGCTTTAAGTGCTGCTGGTGCAGCCAGATCCGTTCTAATGACGTGCTGGAGATAATGAATCTAAAGATAATTAGTTTTTATGAGTGAGATTAAAAGTTGGGCAGGTTGAGGATTTTATAATTAATTCACTGGGGAATTAACGAGAGTTAATTGGAAAACATGTTTTGTCAGATATCTGGTTTCAATAAACAACTTTGATGTGGCCTTATGATAACATTGCATGAACCAGCACATCTTGGATGTCAGTTATTTAAACATTTATGTCTCCCATGTCTACCTTTGATTATGTCAGGGTTATAATCATTGAAATTATAAGGATTGTAAAGAGGTTACTTTATATAAAAACCTTGTGTGCCTAGCAAATCAGATTGAACCTAGGGTCTCATTGAGTAACCAGCCCCACAAAGATGATTTGTCTGAGTAAAGATAGGAAAACTAGTTGTACTGTTTTATCTGTTGGCTGCCTATTAAAGTATGGACCTGGTTGAAAAAATGTAGTACAGCGATGATTTTATTTACAGCCTCAACATACATTCCTCTGTGTGTTTGTCAGTGGGCATTATTAGCCTTCCATCCAAGTTTTATACAACTACAACCTCTCTAAGTTGTGTAGACTACCTAGCCTCGCCTTCTCTCAACCCTTGATAAAACACTGATTACTTGAGACCAATGAAATAATCCTGATCAGTTTTACCTGCAACTCACCGCGTAACACAGAAGCCGCTAATATTTAACAGACAAGTAAACAAATGTCCAGTTATCTTGTATGGGTCTCCACTCTCACCCAGTGCACACTGAAAGCATCCCCCACCCCCGCAATATTTATTGTGCTGATAACCTGGCGCCATCCGTTATTTACTTGCATACACCCCCCCCCTTCCTCTCTACCGAACGGGCGTACACATGATATTTAAAAAGTGGGACGAGAAGTTGAGCTGACAGTTGAGTGATTCATGTTAAGTGAGGTGACAAGAAGTTGAACAAAATGTTTCAAATTACGGAATGGGAACAAAAGAAATGCCACAATTAATTTCCTAGTCTAAACAACATTTACACTAACGTCCTATTATACTATGGCTGCTTCCGGGGTTTTTAAATAATAAAACTAAGTTTTTATTACGTTTCATTTAAGTTTTTAAAAATAAATTGTTAAATGTACATTTTCGCACCAAAAAAAAAAAACCAACACAAAAATAAAAAATCCGACTTATTTGTTGGAAGGCTCGCTGAAGGATGAGTGCAGATGTCGGCTAGTACCTCTTCCTGGTTCTTACCTGTCCTGCTTGTAAGCTTTTTCCTACCTTGAACTTGAAATAATTTACCTGAGTTGTGGGAAAATAGTTTTCTTTTACTTTGGCTAGGCTAATCAGTCGTTACAAATCTGAATACAGAGCCTAAAGCGTAGTGTGGGTTGGGGGGGGGGGGGGGGGGGGATGTCTAGATATGCCTACACTAAATTGTACATTTTTGATAGACATTTCAGGTTAGAGTGTAGTGAAGATTGAAAATATTTTCACGAGATATGTTTTAAGTTTTTGCAATGTTCTGTGTCTAACTTGAAAAAATTAGCTTTCAAATTTTTAAATGTTCACATAGACATGGGAATCTCCTGTAAAATGTAGTTGTGCACTCGAGCAGTGCTAAGTCGAGTCTTGCAGCACTTGTGTAGACGAGTAGTGCTAAGTCGAGTCTTGCAGCACTTGTGTAGACGAGCAGTGCTAAGTCGAGTCTTGCAGCACTTGTGGAGACGAGCAGTGCTAAGTCGAGTATTGCAGCACTTGTGGAGACGAGCAGTGCTAAGTCGAGTCTTGCAGCACTTGTAAAGACGAGCAGTGCTAAGTCGAGTCTTGCAGCACTTGTGGAGACGAGCAGTGCTAAGTCGAGTCTTGCAGCACTTGGGATTAGAGCAGTGCTAAGTCGAGTCTTGCAGCACTTGTGGAGACGAGCAGTGCTAAGTCGAGTCTTGCAGCACTTGTGATTAGAGCAGTGCTAAGTCGAGTCTTGCAGCACTTGTGGGGACGAGCAGTTCTAAGTCGAGTCTTGCAGCACTTGTGGGGACGAGCAGTGCTAAGTCGAGTCTTGCAGCACTTGTGATTAGAGCAGTGCTAAGTCGAGTCTTGCAGCACTTGTGGAGACGAGCAGTGCTAAGTCGAGTCTTGCAGTGCTAAGTCGAGTCTTGCAGCACTTGTGAAGACGAGCAGTGCTAAGTCGAGTCTTGCAGCACTTGTGGAGACGAGCAGTGCTAAGTCGCTATAAATAAGTGCACACTTCCTGCCGAGTTCAGGTGGAAAAAAAAGTTTCCAGGGTCACGTGGCACCGTGACATCTGATTAGATACACAATAACCGCTCACTCGGGGTTCAAGGCTACAGCCCTAGGGGAAGGAGGCTGAATTCGTTCATTTGTTCGTGCGGCCACCTCTAAAGAATTTCTTTAAACAAAGTGAATGCTGCCGCTATTTACATAAAGCTTTCATTTGGCGCCCCAGGCTAAGATTTAAGATCCGGTTTGTAGAACTCTCCAGCTCCGAGTGATTGGTTCTGGTCTCAAGTAGGGGCTTGTAACCAGCAGGATTTTGGCAGCTGGATGGTGCAGGGGTGGGCAAGATAACGTGTTGATGTTGCAGTGCCGCTGCATGTGTGTGTGTGGGGGGGGGGCGTCTTTTGAGGAACATCGTAACTGATAGTCTAAGATAAATTTGTGGAGCGTTACCTTTGCTTGGTCACATTTTTAACTTCTTGTTCTCGTATTTACTTGACAAAAACGTTTTGGTAATCACATTTTTCAAATCAATACAAAATATGAAATAATGCCCTGAAATGAAATGTGTAAACTTGATGTTAAAATAATGTGTGGTCTCTGTAACTCCCCCCCCCCCCCCCTCAACGACCACATTCTGTACCACGTATTAGTCACCGCAGCATGTACAGTTTATGTAGCTTGAGTGCTAATTTCGTTATCTTCTCGTATTGCATGACACCCATAGGCTGGGCTAAAGGTGAGTCTTGCCACCTCACCCCCTCACCTACCGTAGAATTTGTTTAGTTAAAACCGGCTTAAAATAAAGCTAATAGAATATCAGCTCTAGTCCACAAGATCAGCTGTTGAGGTGGGTGGCCGGTGCTTGTAGGCGTGTCAGTGGTGTCGTGTACACACAAGTTTATGTACATAAGTTGTTCAGTACCCGGGGGTGGAGGGGGCACGGTATTCTTTAAGTTTCACTAGTTTCAGTGCGAATATCCGAACGAGAAACATTAATAGAACAATGTTGACGGCCTCAGTCAATATATATCTAGCCTGGAACTTCCCAAAGTGAACCAAGGTTTCTACGTTAAGCTGTGCTGGATGTTGTAACATATGCTATGAATATCTATGTCGTAGTTTGTTTCAATCTTACAAAAAGCCAGGAGATGCCAGAAAAGCACGGGGATTTTCTCACTTAATTGGTGAAGATAGCCGCTTTTTCCCGTGCCAGCTAAAATGCACTTAAAAAAGATGAAGCACCTCCGGGGCGAGGAAATATTTTTAAAATATTTCTAACTAGAGGATAGATGAAAAAAAAATTCTAACTAGAGAATGCGTAAAAAAAAGTTTTCCCGCAAATCTGTCCTAAGCTGCAGTGAGGGGAGGCTAATGAGTCATACAATAGTTGGACGTAGCCGCTCTCGTGTAGTAAACATCCGGGTATGGCTCACACTATGATGCAACGTGACGAATCTGTGCAGTTTGAATTTCTAGCGAGGGAAACGATAGGACGTGTTGGACTTCCTTCACCACGTGAACTTGCTGCTGTATTGGTGTTCATCTGTTTCTTAGTACTGTGCTATTGACTGTCGACACGCCCGCTAGAGGGTGAAACGTAAATGTGTGTGTTAACAGAATGACGTTGTAAAGTTTTACTAGTGCTAGATGGAGATTTCGTTATACGAATTCTTTGTTGTGGTACTGTGTCTCCCATTGTGATCAACATTTACATCTGATCGTCTAAATGCACCATAGGCCTATCGTATGTTCTATACTCAGTGTAGGATATGATTCTATCATTCGGTGCCATAG